TCTGGGAGGCTGAGACAGGCGGATCACCAGAGGTCAGGAGTTCGAGACCAGCCTAACCAACATGGAGAAACCCCACCTCTACTAAAAATACAAAATTAGCCAGGCATGGTGGCACTCGCCTGTAATCCCAGCTACTTGGGAGGCTGAGGCAGGAGAATCACTTGAACCCCGGAGGCCGAGTTTGCGGTGAGCCGAGATCGTGCCATTGCACTCCAGCGTGGGCAACAAGAGCAAAACTCCATCTCAAAAAAAGAAAAATGTGCTCTGCAGGCCAGCAGTGCTGCTGCCAACTTGAAGTGCTTTTGATAGCAACGGAGCAGCTGAGGCTGCACTCTGGACCTGCTGAATCTGACGCTGCGTTTTAATAGGATGCCTAGATGACTCGCATGCCCTTTAAAGTTTGAGGAGCACTGCTCTGGCCACTCTGTTTGGCATAAAGAGTGTGCCTTAGAGCAGAGGTTTTCAAAGTGTCTCCGGCTCACGGCAGCAGCAGCAGTACCAGGAGCTTGCAGAAATGCAAATATTGAGCCCCACCTCACACCCACTGAATCAGAAACTACAGAAATGGAGGCCAGGAATCTGTTATTTTAACAAGCCCTCTAGGTGTTCCAATGCACGCTCGCATTGGAGAGGCACGGCCCTAGATGTAGATTACAACGCACTGGCGCACACAGCAGCCTCTGTGATCCTAGGAATCCATTGCCCCTGCACTGGATGCCAGGATGATCAAAGAAGAGCTCGGCCTGAAAGAACTTTGAAAGCCGGATTGTAGGAGGCTAAACGGGCAGGGCTGCTTCCTCCCGCCCCTTCTTTGACAGCAGCTTTGAAGGCTGAGTTAATCCTATTCCTGCTTGTGGCTCCATCACACACTCTTCTCTATTTTGCCTGTATATTCATTCACTTTTATCCCCACTTCTGCCCTGAGGAACCTCCTTTTCCCTCAACACAGACAAGATCTGTCCTGTAAAGAATGGATTGGTTAGTGTGCATGAATTTACACTTCCCCTAATGATACAATGCTGTAGGCCTCTATCTGTGCCTTACTTTTTCACTCAGTGGGGGATTTTTAAGGTCTCCCTTCTTTGTTAAATGTACCCAGAGTCCATTGCTTCTAACTCAGACTGAGTATCTCATAGGGTGCACCCAGCTTTTCCTGCCCTGTGACAAGACACCCAGGTAGCTTCCAGCTCCTCAGCACCACCAAGGATGCTGTGATAAGCATTTCCCCAACTGTCTCCCCATTTTAAGATGGAAAAACTTGAAACACTTCCAGCCCATGTGACTTGCCCAATCTCTGGTCTGGGGAGGGGGAAACTTGCAAACTGCAGCATGGTGGTGAAGAGCGTGAGTTTGGTGTCAGACTCACCTGGCAGATAACCTGGCACCAGTCCCTCCACCTTTCCATGCCTCAGTGTCCTCATCCATGAAATGAAACCTACATTTTAGGTTCTCTATGAAGAGCTAAAAACAAAAACCACTTAGCAGAGTCTCTAGCACATAGTAAGTGCTCAATAAATGTTCACTTTAATTGTGCCTCTCTTTCCAGAGACTGTCTTTTGACCTCTCTTCCACTGATACTTTTCTTTTTTGCTCTTGCTTCACGGTAATTTTCCTCAAATGCCACCTATTCAAAGTGACCTCCAGAAATGATCCTAGAGGTACTCGGAAAAGGCCAGTGGCCTGGGCAGGGGGAAAGGACAACAGGTAGGGCTGGTTTGGGCGTGTTGGTGAAGGAACTGGGCCAGAGGGACTTGCCTGGGTTAGGAGTCAAGAATGGAATTGCAGGAGGCTGTGTGGCCAGTGATAGCACACGGGTGGGGCGCCACAGCCCCAATATCCTAGCATTCTCCTGGCTCTGGTGGGAAAGCAGCCGTGCAGGGCCCGCATACAGCAGGTACTTAACATATGGCTGTTTCTCTTATGTGCCGTATTGTGGTCCAGATTTAAAGGGGTAGGAGCAGAAGAGTCCTGCCACCCTGGGGGGAGGATGGAGATCTTTGCTTTGCTTTGCAGGGACTCTCTTGTGTACGCAGGCGAGGAATCCAGGGAAGGGAATGCGCCAGAGCTTGAACCGCAGACTGGAAAGGGGGAGTCTGTGGCCAAGGCCTGGGCTGCGCAGGTTGCATGCCCCAGCCTGGGCCAGCAGAGGGCGCTGCGCACCTCCGCACAGAGCTAGCGGCAGTCCCGTGACAACCCTGGCAAGCTGCGAGTTAGAGAATCCAATTGTCTCGCTTCCCAGGGTTAAGGGGTTCCCCCACCCCCAACTGCCAGGGACTTTTAGTGCTAAAATCAGGGAAGTCTCAGGCAAATCAAGACGAGTTGGTTACTCTGACTGGAAGATGCAACCGCTGAAGTGTTGCTCACACACATAAACACACATGTGCACATCACACACAGCACAAAATGTACCCAGACTCGCACCACACACCTCACAGTGCACATCACACACTCATGAACATCGCACTACATGCGTAACACACACAACATGCTTGCACACAGACACATGTATCACTCATGTCACACATTTATAACACATGCAACATACAAAGAATACATACACACACATGTACCATGAAAACATGTAAAACAAACACTGCACCACACACAGGCACAGTACCTGTGCATATCACACCACTTACACAAGATACACCTGTATCACACTCGTGCACACTACACACACAGTACCCACAAATACATGCACAGCACACACAGCACAAATTTACCTGCACTTGTGCCACATACATCATACCCATGCACTTCATGCCACATGAATAAACAACACACCTGAACACGTATGCATACACCATTCACAAAACGCACTTATAACACGATGCACCACATGCAATCCACACACTCACACTCCACAGAAGCACAGCATACACAAGAAACAGTCACAACACAGTACCTGTGCACACATGTACCACATAAACATATCTAAAACAGAGCAAATTGCAACACACATGCAGGTGAACAACGTATGTGGCATCACCCCAATACACAATACATATATGAACCACGCACATAATACATGCACATTAACACACATGCACACAAGACAACACATTGCATAACTCACACTGGTGCGTACCATACCACATACACAAAGTGACATGCGCCAAGCATACACACACCACATAATGCAGAATACATGCATGTACTACACATAACATACATGCACATCCATTTAGTACACATAATGCAATGCACACACAACACAGAGAATACATACAACACACAGGCACAAACACACATAGACCATGCACCCACAAATATGCATATGCACCGCACATTTGCACTAGGCAGGCACACAGTCACACACCATACCACTTTGCTAGCCACAGACCCTCTTGTTTCAGGCAATATTTCTTATTGGTAGAAGGAGGACCCTCGTTCTTGCTCCAGGCCAATGAATAATAGTGTCAAAAAATTTGCAAACTATATATTTGTTCACTCAGCAATCACTTCTTTACTGCATGTTGCGCTTTGGGATGTACAATACAAATTCAGTTCTGACCTTTTAAGAGGCTCACAGCATGGCAGGGAAAGCAGGCTTCGACTGATAAACATCAAGGGTCATTTGGCTTTGGTTGTAGTAAGCACTATGAGTTAAAACTCCGGGGTGCAAGGGGGGCACAAAACTAGAATGGGGTGGGAATTTCCTGGAAAGAGCTTTTAAAGGCAAGACCTGAAATCAGTGTAATGGGGTTGGAATGAACGGAAGTAGGGTGAGGTGAGTGGGACACCCCGGACACACAGTTTAAGGAGGTGTTCGCTCCGGTTGCTGACTCTGCAATTGCATGCCCTTGAGTGTGAGTGGCTGAGTAGCCAGGCTGAGGGGAACTAGATCAGGGAGCCGAGGAGTTTGTGGCCCTCCTGCCAACTGCCGCTCTGCACAGATGCTGTCACCTCAAGGGTTAGAGGACATGTTTGCTTTCTAGGAAACTCTCCAGGCTCTGGGAGGAGCAATGGCTTATAGGAAAAGGGACCTAAATCACCAAACTAAAACTAACCAGCTGCCTTGCTCCCTGGATGCTGGGAACCAAGGCTCCCTCCTCAGTGGCCAGCTATGGTGACAGTAAGGGGGCAGGGGGTGGAGGACGGGCAGCATCTCCCTGGGCACAGCTCTGCACATCACCTACACTCTCAGCTTCCCTCCTGGGGCCGGGGCTGCCCTGGCAGGGTAAGTAGCAGTCAGCACAGTATTCTGGCTCTCTGGCACTGTCCCCTTTTCTTAGTCTAGTGGCCCAAGGAGGGTGGCATGAAGGGTGGGCCAGGCAGACTGGAGCTCGCATGCCTGCCTTCGAACCCCGACTTAGTTACCTACTAGCAGCGTGACTGGGAAAGCCACTTGGCCTTGTTTCCATACTTATAAAATAAGCATGATGATACTATTAGCTCCCGTCTTGCAGAGCTGTGAGGACTTTCAGGATCAGGACTCTATGAGTTAATATACATTAAAAGCTTGTAAAGTAAAGCCAGGCACATGGGAAGAGCCCCCTAAATATAAACTGCAATTGTTAATTTTGATCCAAACTAAAAGCAAACACTAACAATAACTTTAAAATCAAAATGTAGTGGAGTCAGAGGGTTAGAATTGGAGAATGTCTGCTCTAGCCTCCCTTCTGTGTTATACAGATAAACCGTTCGACCTACGGACAGAAGAACTAGAACCCAGGACAGAGAAGAGAATGAACAAGCTGGAGTTCTCACTTTCTTCTTTCTAGGACAACAGTTCTCATCTGAAGGGCTTGTTCATACAGAACACTGAACCCACCCAGCGTTTCTTGTTCAGCAGGCCTGGGATGGGGTCTGAGAATCTGCATTTCTGAGAACCCATCAGTGCCCAGGGGATGCTGGCACTGCTGGCCCAGGTAGCACAGCTTGGAAAGCACTTGCCCTAAGGACAGGAGAGGCAGGGTATGGAGAGCTCGAGTCCCTGGGTTCACTATCACCTGATCATGTCCTGGGATCCAGGAAGGGAAAACAAGGGCCTTACTTACAGTGGGTGCCGCGCCTCGGGCAGAGTCCTCTGGAGGGGGATGCGGGCACTGAGTGCCTCGTGGAGGCCACGTGGGTCCAGGCTGAACGGGGTCAGCTCCTCTTCTTCAGATGCCTCCCCATTCTCCTCCTCGGCCCCCCAGTCCCTCTTTGTGGCTTCCTCATCCCGCCTCCTGCTTGGCTGCTTGATGAGCCGGTAGCTGACACTTCTCCTGCCCTGGCTCTGGTTCCTTCTGGCCCTGGGTAAGGCCACAGCCACCAGCAGCTGATCCTCTCGCAGTGAGATAAAGGGTGGCAGGCCCTCCAGAGGGCTGTACTCCTCGCCCTCATCCTCAGCCTCCAGTACCCAATCCTGGGGTTCCCCAAAGTCCAGGCGGTATCTGGCTTCAGGGCTGTGCTTGCTGGCTTGGGCTGTGACCGTCTGGTGCAGGGTGTGCGGGGGAGGGTGCAACATCGCCACCATCAGCAGGACGCATCCCAGCAACAGGAGCAGCAGGAGGAACTGGAGTCTGCATGGTCTGTTCCTGTATCGCTTCCTTAGGAGCATGTTGCTGGAACTTGCCAAATGCAACAGGTCATGTTCAAGTTCGCTTTCTCCGCTCCAGGCTCCTTCAGGCTTGCAGCAGAACCTGGGTTGCTCCTTCCATCTGGAAGTTTTTTTGCCACTTAACCTGCTCCTGACATTTGCCAACAGCGTGTGTAAGACCTGCTTCCACTTACAATCAGAAAACCACAGGACCCAAGATTCACCCCAAGTCCTCTCTGAGTGGATTTCTTTAATTGCCTTCTGAAAGAAAGCCCATTCACAGGGACTTCAAACTGAATTGCTGCCCTCCCTTTACCCTGGTTTTCTCCTTGGGAAAAAAAATAATGATTCTGCTCAGGTGTTTCTTTCCCCCTTTGAACAAATAGGTTGCTATGAGGTGTCTGGGATGAGCTGGTGGGTTCTCAGTCAAGCAGGGCTGACAGCCGTCCCTCTTTGGACACTTCCAGTCAGGTCAGATCAACAGATGTAAAGCCGGCAGGCAGTGCCTGGTTTCCTTTCACACATAGCTCCACTCAGCCGAGAGCCCTCTGCCAGACACCACCCGGAGCCAAGCATGCGCCTCGCTCCTGGTCCTAATGCCCTCACTGTTCCCAGGCTTTGCACAATTCAGTGTCATCACTGCTAGAGCCAAATCAAAACGGGAATATCCCAAGAGTTCAAAAGGAAAGAACATTCCCTCCTGATTCAGAAAACCTGTCTGTGTGGCATAGATGCCAGGCGCTGCAGCTGTCTGTTTGCGCCCTCGGCCTCCCACGGGGAATCAACCAAACTAGACTGGACTCTCTTTCCCCTTCCTGGGGACCACCGTCCCTGTCCTGAAAATGACAGCACTGAGACAGATGGTCTTGCAAGGCCCTCCTGCTCCCATAAGAGCAGCTGAATCCCTGCTCTGCCCTGGCCACTGACGGGGACACTGGAAGAGGAGTGGCATGTTCCTTCCATCATAAGGCTTCCTTCATTTAACCAACACATAATTAATGAGCACATGCTATGTGCCAAAACTGTTCTGGGAACTGGAACTACAGCAATGAATAACACAGACAAAAATGTATGTCTCATGGAGCTTGCATCCTAGTGAGAGATACAATTAAAACTATCCCCTGGGTCAGATGGTGATGAGGATGAAGGCAAAAAGGCAGAGCATGGATGGGGCCGGGGAGCACGCGCTGGGCTTGGAAATGGACACTAAGTGGTGGAGAAAGGTTTCACGGAAGAGTTAGCATTTGTGTAAAGGAGAAGCCTGCACAGCGATCTGAGGTTGAGCGTTCGGGGCAGAATGAGAAATGTGAAAGTTCTAAGGCAAGAGTGCACCGGCGTGTCTGAGGAAGGCCAGCATGGCTGAAGCAAAGCGCACATGGTGGAACCTGATGGGAAGTAGAATAAGAGAGGCAAGGGGGGCAGGAGGACTGTGTAGGGCACCCCCTGGTTGCACGGAAGGGACTTTGGCTTTTCCTTTGAGAGGGGAGTCCTTCGAGGAGAGACACAACCTGCCTTGGGTTTTACCTGGGTCATTCTGGCCACTGGGTTGAGACTAGTCAGTGCGGGGCAAACAGCAGGAGCAGGGAGACCAACCAAGAGGTTCTCGGCTTGCACAAAAGTGGCATCAGTGGTGACATCCACTTCTTCATATATTCTAAGGAAGAACCTGGAGGATTTGCTGATGAATTAACGACTACTATGAGAGAAAGAGAAGAGTCAAGGATGAGTTCTGATTTCAGCCTGAGTAGTTGGAAGACTAGAGTTGCCGTGAGCCAAGATGGGGAAGGAGAGAAGGTGGAAGGAGACAAATACCAGTGGCTGGGTTTGGAACGTGTGATAGCTGAGATGTCCTTCAGACAGCTAAGAGGAGACGAAGTGAAGGCAGCAGGATGTAGGATCGCTGAAGGTCAGGGAGGGCCTGGCCTGCAGGTACAAAGCTGGACTCCAGCAGAGGAGGCCTGAGGTCACTGAGGGAGTGAGGCAGGCAGGAGGGAGAAGGCAATCCACACACTCAGAGTTTTCGGGCTTCTGGCTCGAACAGGGTGAAGGATAACTGAGCATCGCCATGAGCTGTTTCTTCTGATGGCTGTAAAGCAGCCAGGCTGTCTGCAGCCGAGAGAGGAGGGGAAACCGCCACTGGGGACGTGCTGCAATGAACCTGCTCGTTGTTTTTGTCTTTATTTTGGTCTTAGAATGTCAGCTCAAATTTTTCATGGAAAAAAAAGTTTCATCTTTTGACTCAGTTGTTTCTCTCAGTGTGTGTGGTGTGGTGTGTCTGTGCACGCACACGTGGACAAGCATGTCGACACGCGTGTTTTCATAAAGTCAAAGGCGAAATAGTGGGTTATGTGTGGTTGTTTTCCTGGGAGCCCAGCATAATGCCCAGTGGGCAGCGCTTAGCAATTTCCGGATCGAATTGTGTCTTCCAAATCTCAAATCACGGTGTACTGCCAGGTGGGGATGCTGTGTCATTTCCAAATTCAAGAGGCAGACACCCTGGGAGGTGTAGTTCAGAATTTCTGGTGACGTTTTGAGGTTAATGAGCATGAAGGATTAGGTGGTTTCAAATCCAGGAGACCTTCATCCACTCATCTTCAGCCACACTGGTCTTGAACTTGCCAAGAACAGCCCAGCCCAGGGCCGTCGCCCTGCCAGCCCGCTGCTTAAGCACTCTTTCCCCAGAACTTCATCCACACCATATGGCTCATTTCTTCATTTCTGTGTTTACTCCAATGTCACCTATTTAGTGAAGCCTTCCTGGACCCACCATTCTACACGGAAAGCCCATCATCGACATGGGGCCAAGTTTGAGAATCTCCAAGGTTCTTCTCAACCCCTGGCAAATTAAAATACTAAGGTGTGTTTACTGTCTGTTTCTCGACCCACTCCCATAAAACATAAGCTCTACAAGGGCAGGGCTTTTGCCTGATTGTTCACCGCTGTCTTTCCGGAGCACACAAAGCACACTGTTCCACTCCCCAGGCCTTTGCTGCCGTCCCCGCCAGCTTTGCTGCCAGTTCCTCCCACCCCCACCGTCCCCTGGCACAGGAGGCCCAGACCTTGCTCTCTCCTCTCTTTCTCACCCTTGCTCTTATCATGGGTTGAATCGTGTCCTCTAAAATTACGCTGAAGCGCTACCTCCCCTGGGGAACCTGTGAAAGAGACCATGACAGCAAATAGGATCTTTGTAGATTATCAAGTTAAAAGGATGTCATTAGGGCGGGCCCTAATCTAATATGACTGGCATTCACAAAAAGGGGTGCATGCTTCTTGTACAGCCTGCGGAAGTGTGAGCCAAATAAACTTCTTTACAAATTACCCAGCCTCATGTCCTCCCTTACAGCAACACAAATGGACTAAGACAGCTATGACGCAGTGACGGCTGCTTGGTTTTTGGTCTTCCCCATTAGCGGTTGCTCCATCTTCATCTGTCTCACACTCAGCACAGTGCCTGGTCTGGTAGTACACGGTTGTTCAATAAATGATTCTCAGAGATGAGTGACGTGATAGACACTATGCATTATGCAATAAGAAATTCTTAACATCAAGGTAGCACCCTGGGACCTTAGAAAGGGAAGAAAGGAAATGTATGGCATGCAACCACTTACCCAAATGGCCAACCTCAACTTCTCCCTCCCTCAGAATGTCTGAGATGGCCAAGCCCACGTCCTCACTCTCTTTCCTCTTTCATGATCTGGCTACAGATTTTATTGGGAAGGAACAGCACTGAGAGTAGGATCTTACTGTGTGTCTAAATGGCGCAGGGGCAAGCATGGGTAGGGAATACCTTTCACACAGGACTAACAGAGAGGCCTGGCGTCCACGGTGCCTCAGTGCCCTCTGTTTGCACAGCCATGACCAGCAGGCCCATCACTGAATGCACAGGTGTATTAGTCCATTTTCATGCTGCTGATAAAGACACACTTGAGACTGGGAAGAAAAAGAGGCTTACTGGACCTACGGTCCCACATGGCTGGGACAGCCTCACAGTCACAGTGGAAGGCAAAGAGAAGCAAGTCATGTCTTACGTGGATGGAGGTAGGCAAACAGAGAGAGAGCTTGTGCAGGGAAACTCCTGTTTTTAAAACCATCAGTTCTTGTGAGACTCATTCACTATCATGAGAACAGGAAAGACCCACCCCCATAATTCAATCTCCTCCCACAGGGCTCCTCCCAGGACACGTGGGAATTATGGGAGTTATAAGTCAAGATGAGATTTGGGCGGGGACACAGCCAAACCATATGAAAAGGTAACCAAGAACAGAGGTCCTTCTTAGGCCTTTCTCAGACTTACTGAGCCAGTATTTATGGGGTGGGCCTAGGCTTCTGTGTTTTAACAAGCCCTCTGAAGGCTTCTAATGTATGCTAAGGGCTTAGAGCACTAGTGTAAAGAACACATCTCCCTTACATGACAAGAAAAGGCCCACACTCAAGTTGCTTCTCTCTGGTCCCAGGATATGTTCTGCTTGGGTATGAGAAAGGAACAAAGGAGCTTTGTTCCATGCATATGGAGGCCACAGACTCAGATATGCAAGGCCTGATGAAGGTTTTTATTTTTACTGTAAGTGAACTCATGAGCCCCTTCTCCTTGTTAGGGAAACCAGTCTCAGGGGTTCAAGGTGTCACCATTCACTTTCTACCCAGAGTAAGGTCTAGTTTATGGGGGTCCCACAGGGCCCAGGCACCTGTCCTTGTCCTCGTCATCTACATCAGAGTCCTCTGAAAGGGCCCTGTCCCCATCGGGTCTCCAGACACTTCTCTGTAGAGGTTTTGCTCCATACACCTGCTCTCCATACCCAAGGCCTTTGAGGGTCACAGGCTTTCTGTGACATGCCCACATCCCTCTTCTCAGGGGAATGAGGAACTCTGTGAGGCTCCCTCACACCCAGCAGCCTAAACACCCAAGAGGCTTCTTCTGCTCCCATACCGTGCTGTTTGAAGGAGATTCTGGGATCTTGTCATTTCCCTGTGCTATAAAAGATGGGGACACTATTGTGGGTTTCTGTCATTTGCCTCCCTATATCATCTCTCTCCTGGGACTTGGCTTAGGGGAGCAGTTTAGGATACTTCTCAGGGACCCACCAGAATCTAAAGTCTCTTTGTTTTCCCTTCAACAATTCCTTTCCTGGCACAAGGGATTGAAAAGATAAATACATGTATTTAGAAATGTTCTAATTCCCAAAGAGACTGCAGCAGCCATGGCAGATACATTGCTATTCCCTCCACCCCAGCTCCAAGTTCAGGTGCAGCTGCCGATGGACAGTAACTGTGTGCACAGACAGCCTCCCACCTCGAGGCCACATCTCTCTGCCTGAGGGCTTCCCGGCATGAGGGAGCAGCTCACCTTTCACGCAGAGCAGGCCAGAAGTGCTGGGGATTTAACTTCAGGGACAACTTCAATCCTTACGTAAAGGAAACTGGTGGATAAATACTTTCTTGTGTAATAGTGAATAGGCTTGGTGGGACTCTTCTGAGATATGGTTTACATAATTCTCCAGAATTCCTAGAGTTCGAGGATTTCTAGAGTCCCTGGCAGCCCGAGGACCTGGCCGTGCATAGCAGTAACCTGCTCATCACTGCGTCCTTCATTCACCACCTCCCCTCTTTGTCTTACTGTCCCCACGTCCACCCTTGCACTTCTTGGGTTCACTTCGAAATAAACCATCTATCTCAGAGTGTGCTTTCAGGGGAACCCAAACTAAGACACAGGTACCAACCAACATAAATAATGTATCTCTTCCTTTGTATTTATACTTGTAGAGTCAATTAATTGGTGAAATAAATAACCTCCTATGGGATTCAGCAAGATTATTTCTGCCTTTTTTATATAAACTGGACTATGACAAGTTTTCCGACCTGTATTCTGTAAAGTGTGTATTTATGTCATTAGTACTCTCTTAGATTTAAAGTCCTAACAGAAGTCAAACGTTCTTCAGTATATTCTGTATTATGCTTAGAATAATATCCTAAAGGGTAAATCAAAGCCATGCCTGATATTATAAAGTCAACCTGTTCTAAAACCCAGCTAATCCCAGTGATTCTAGCAGTGTTCTAGGACTGATTCTAATCACTCAATTCTACTTTTTCTTCTAAGGACAAGTTTTCAGGAAACTACCTCTTGTTCAGCAGACTGCTCACTAATGCCAGGTGAGGGTCACACTGGGAGAGACGTCATGACGCTACGCTCACCCCACGTGGACCCAGCCCGCTAGGGGGATGGAGAGGTAAGTGCAC